GTGACACAAGGCAGCGTGCGTCAACACATTTGCAGCAACATCTACTGGACTGGAAGTAGTATTACACTTGTTTTTGGCTGATGTTCGCCAACCATTCATGCAATTTTATTTATTAATTTTTTTAAATTAATAATCGATTCTTGGCATCAAGAATCGATGCAGTAGATCACGAAAATTAGAATCACAATGCATCATCATCATGACGATTATTTTGCACACCCCTACTGTCCAGCAGGAAGGCATAGCGCCGCGTCAGTCATAGAACCGCCCCATATTTTGCACCGTCTAGCGGCAGATTTTTCCACCACACAACTTTGCTCAGAGGCATGTTTAAGTCTTTAAAAAACCCTTCTCCCTTTCTTTCACAATTACGTATTAGATGCTCATCTATCACTTAAAACAAGAACGTGTTTAGAAAATACCTTGTGAAAAAGTTCAAGGCTTCTGAATATCTTTATATGGCACTTTATTTCCAATTATTCTTTCACTTGTTTATATCAAATAAAAAAAAATCTTATGTGAGAGACAGAAAGGAAATTTTTTGAAAGCTTTTGATTTATATTTTTGTAAGCACCACACAATCTTACCCGCAGTCGGGGGCAGGACACCAGCGACAGTCTGGTTCGGCCACCAGCCACCTCCTCAGCATGAACTCCTCATATTTCTCCATGACGGCTCGGTCTCCCAAGATCATCTGGATGTCGTGTGGGTTGAAGCGCTCCGAGCACTCGGGGCAGGTGATGTTGACGCGGGACTCTGAAATCTCAATGCGTAGATACTGGCGCAGGCAGTCTGCGCAGGAACGATGGTGGCAGGTCATGATGTCCGGGAAGCGGTCCCGTGTATGGCGAAGCAGGCACAGGGGGCATTCCAGTAGCTCTGACAAACTCCCCGACCCGGTTGATGTGGACGCTACGTCCAACGGAGGCTGGGTGGAAGTTTTGTCAAGCCCGGTCTCAGTCTGCACGCTTTCAAGGCTGACAACCGCATCCACCCCAGATGACAGAGTCCTAGACTTCCGTTTGGACTCCCGTTCAGGTCTGAGTCTCCTTCCGAAGAATGAGTGAAGGGACAGACGGCGTCTTTTAGAGTTCTTTTTAACTGAGGGGAGGCTAACAGAGGATACAGCGGACTGAAGGTCTCGCTCTGAGCCTGTACTGCCATGCTGCAGGCTACTCATTGCGCCAGATGAGGCGCTACCAATAATTCAGTTAGAAATCACCACATCAGGTGAGGGGATTGCTGATGTTGAATACAAGCCCAAATTCAAAAGAGGAAATGAGATTTAAGAGAGAGGATTCCCAAGGAAGGAGGCCGGACAACCTTTAGTTACGACATAATGGAAGAACCTAGCAGATCAGCGAGGAGCTCTGGTCTCTTAGATCCTAGCATCTTCAGATTTCTGAGGTGTTGATGTGCACTCAGGCCTGGAGGAAAGAAGAAAAATTATTTAGACAAAAAAAAAAAATAGATAAAATCATAATAGTTTATTGACATTTCGGGAATTTTAAAGGTCACAAGGTGGAACTCCTTATATCATTTTAAATAAAAGTTTGCCAATAGAAAGAAATTGCATAGTCTTTGAAATGTTGTGCCAGTTGTGTTCATCAGTCTAATCAGCTAAAGGCTTCAGTCCATTTTTTTTGTTGCATCAAAGGAATATTCATATTCCTCATGCCCAACAGGACAGAGAGTAAGAGGTATTATGGAGGCAGACCAACCATTTAAATTCTGTTTTATTTTTATGGCAGATCATTCTGGACAAACCTCCACAAAGAACTAAGAGGTGGCTAATGAACAGATGCAAATCCAAACTGAGGCAGCAGTTTTATAAACCTAAAAACCCAATTCTGTTTTTTTTTTTCAGTTTTCACAGTATTTTAGAAAAATAAATGAGCCATCTGCCTCTTGCTTTACAGCTATAAGAAAATTGTAAAACAAAAACAGTAAAAACAAACAAAAACAAACAAACAAAAAAATTAAATCAAACAGCATCAGGTCACATTCAGTTTGGCGCAATGACTTCTTTTTTTTTTATATTTGTGCTAACTCATCTTTCTCCATCTTGTGAGAGGCATCCAAGTCAAATATCACAATGCACTCGACTGCAAAAACGCTTAGAAACAAGTATAATGATAGTTTATAGTGGGGATGACTTTACAAATTTGGTATCTTAGCAGAGCTACAGTTTAATTTTCTCTGTTAACTGTTTTTAAATGAATTCAAAAACAGAAATAAAACTCAAATTCAAGTCTCATTTAAATAACAGATATAATGTCCATTTATAAAAATGTGCAAACAAAAACACTAGACGCAAACATAGAAATCAGCGGGTGTGTTTTGGATTGGTAACTGCATAATGGTGACAAGCCAGTTCGATATTCAAAAATGCAATATATTTGATGAGTGGATGAACCATAATTAGGTGTAAACTAAAGTGCTCTGGGAATATTTGTTGTTGAGCATAAAGCTCTAAATAAACATTGAGGCAGGAATTTAGAATTACAAATGCTAACGGCACTAATTTTGATCTAATAATACTAAATAAAGTTACAGCAAACTCACACACATCTGGTGAGACTTTACTCGTTATCCTTATGTAAAATAACTAATAATTGCACATAATAAGCACGCCAGAAATAATACAGATAATTACTGTATTTAAACAGGAAAAAGACCAAACAAAAGCAGTGATACTGAAAATACTTCTCTATGGAAAGCATCCACCACAGTGTCTGTTTAGACCTTGGTGATATTATCACTCCATCGTGTTGATTTGTGGGATAATTTGATCAACCTCTGTGTGCGAGGGAGGAAGTTTTAAGAAGGGAGAGAATAATTTTCAGCCAAGCTACAAGTTAATGTGAAATTACAATGCAGTGGAGTAATTAAACTGGAAAATCCTGCCTGTACGATGAGGAAAGACCGAGTGGGACTTTCCATGCGGCTGAGGTCAGAGTGTGTCTGTGTGTTTCCAGTTCTGTGGCTGTGGGGGAAAATCACACACAAGCACACTATATACATTGGGATCCTGTCCCAGTTCTTCACTGATCTTCAGCCCCTGGGTAAGACGTTTTGCTGTAGCAAAATGAACACTTTCAATCTTCTGCCAGCTCTTAAAAGAAATCACACAGCCAACATTTGCTTTTGCTATGCATTGTCATGACTAACACAGTTTCCAAACATAACATTTATGTTGGAGAGAAGAGTCAGTGTAAGCTCACTGGAGAGGAGAAAATGGTAATAAAATAAGTCATGTGGAACAGCAGAGGTAATTGCTTTAACAAGTATAGCACTTAGCACCATACGGCAATAAAACACTAGCACTGGCAATGCAATTAACAAAAATATTCCCAAGTTAATTCTTCAAACAGACAATTAGATGCACAACTAACCAGCATTGAAACATTTATGGAAACTATAAACCCTAAAAAGACTGTGACCAAACCCAGTTAACTAAATGTGAACCTTACGATTCTTCCAAGTTTCTGTTAGTTATCACTAAATAGAGTAAGTAGAAGCAGGCATCAATAAACATCTCCTCACTGCGGTTTCGGACTATAACTATGTGTGGAATGAACTCTTGGTGAGTTTAGGAAGACTAATGGGATGCTCATGTGTCCTGCAAACTCTCCAGTAGCAGGAAAACGCCCTGTGCTGCCGAGGTCCACAGGATGGTAATTAAAATTCTCAGATTTTCCGCTTAATCAGCCCTAAAATTTTAATCTAATCAGTAAGAACACTGCTAAGCACTGCCAGGTCCCACAGACAAAAACACTCTTCGGTTTGGATGCTGTTACTAAGGAAAGAGGACTTATTGTTGGCTTCTATCACTACCAGTGGGAGATTTAAAATGACAGAAAGCACAGAGGTATAAAGAGGTACTAAAATAGAAAGTGTATTTCTTTATAAAAAGAGAGGACATCTGAAGTAGAGCCAGACCGACATGGGATTTTTAAGGCCGAAGTCGATTTTAGGGGCTTTAAAAAAAAAAAAAAAACTATACCAGACATATTGATATTGACATATATGGACCAGAATATTAAAAAAAACTAAATATGGACATACATGGGATATACACTGTCCAACTATAGTCCAATTTAAATTACCATAACCAAAAATATGATTCAAGACAAAGAAATAGAACAAAACTATATAATTAAAATAAGCAGTGTCACCATAACACTATAAATACATTTTTTGTGGTTTTGATTTAGATATTGCCTCAAATTTGAGAGCCCTGACAAAATTTAACACTGCAGATTCTGCATCCAACAGCTGTAACAGCCTTCATTAAGTGGCTCCACACCTGACTGTTACCCTCTGCCTATGAAATTAATATATTTAGTGAACATTGCTAATTAGATTTCAATTCTACAGAAAAGCATTTAAAAATAAAAACAAGTGGCCGCATACAGCTTAAAGTGATAAAACACTGTCTAATGGGAGGCGTTTTGTATGTGATTTATTTTTAAAAGGTTAATTCACAAAAACACCTAAGAAATATACATTTGTCATATTTACAAGCACTGAATAGTTCTGAACAGAAAGGTTAAAACTAGATTTGAGTAGCGATGCTGCTGCTTTTAAAGCATCCAACCAGGAATACAACTAAATACATAAGATTGAGACTTTTAAAATATTAACATTAACTTCTGAATTTGAGCCCCTGCATGTCAGTATGAAGTATAGTTGGACACAATATAATCATCTTATTTTCCTTTGAAAGTTATGTTTATTTCGCATAGAGGTAAAACTTACACAGGTCTAAAATACTAATGTGTTCGCAAAACTAGAGCGTATAAAACTCGTCAGCTCTCCTCCACGTGCCATAACAGCGTGATAAGGGTTGTTGCCACAGGGCACTTAAATTAACTTTTACAAAATCACAGCTACTAGGGAGTAAACTGCTCACTTTCTACCTCTCTGTCCAATTCCTTGCTCACACTAGCAGCGGCTGTGTAAAAGTGCGTTTGTCAGGAGGGGTGGTGCAGAGAGAGCTCACTGAGGGGAGGGATGGCAAGGAGCAGATCAGCTCTCAAGAAGAGAGGGGCAGAGAAGCACAATAAGCACCCGGCCAAAGTTTATTTTTGGTGTTGGCAGCAAAAATAGAATTTCTTTAAAATCTGCTACATTTTGGCAGATGTTGACTAATGAGCCAGATGCTAAAATCGGCCCAGCAATGCAGTCGGACCCTAATCTGAAGTTCATTCACGCATGAAAAGAGAAAGATAAGAATGGATGAAGAGTTTTCAACCTCTTTCTGTCGAGGACCATCCTCGATTTGGAAATGTTGGCGAGTAAAGGTCAAAATCTACAAGCGAAAGGGAAGACCTACAGTGACCTCCATTGTAAAAATAAGCCAAACTAAACTACCGTAGTCAACTTTTAAATCATTTTAACTGTACAGTATCATTAAACCTCTATCTTACAGGGTCTGGTCTTTCATATGGCTGTGTGTTCAGATCAATTTATTTCTGCCGTGCTGATATATCTGCATGCTGATGAGACGGCACCCTCTGGATGCATCTCCAAAAGCCACTGTTATAAAGAGGCATCTGGACATCTGATACTTTCATCAAAATTTGTGGCTACACCACATGAGGTTGGAAACGTGAAAACGTATAACTTTAACTCTAGCCTAATACAGTTTGTGGGAAAGACATTTGCTACAAGTTTTTCCCCTTTAAAAATCACGTCACAATAGCGGTGTACTTTTAACCGACAAAACCATCATCATAGTTCTGTGATTTCCTGTATGACTGCTTTGGCGTTCCTCAATTTACTTCTCTTTTTTAGAAGAAATACCTTGATCGAATAGCATATTTAGTAAGATACATCCAGTTAAATGAATTAGTCAAACCTTCAAATTAAAGTCACCACAGGGTTCAGTACTATTGAGAACTGTTTCATTTAAACATAAATAAATAATTACGCCCATGAAATGACACAAAATAAATGTTAAAATTATTTTAATCTTACTTTATTATATTTTAAGCTTTTTTTTTAATATATTCAAAGATTTATTTATTACACAATTTATTTATCTATATCAAAATGGAGTATCACTTTGTAAAGCTACTTTACTCATTCAGTGACTTCCTTTTTGTTGTTTTACTCCGTTTTTCGTGTTAAGCTCCTTTTATTTCATGTTCTGAAATTCAAATAAGGAGGCAGATTTTATCTGTGGTTGGGCGCTGCACAGAAATGGTGGAGTGCATCTGCTTTGCAGGAATGGAAGTACTCTAATCACAATGACCAATAAAATCAAAGTATTGCCTTTGCTGAGCTGTTTGGTCCATACAGGAAGCACGATCCGTGCCATCCGCTCCTCTGCGCATGTCCGTCCGAGCATATATTCATCCAGGTTGCCATAAATAAAGTAATTATGTACTAAAAGTATTCATTTCTATGCTTAAATCACCAAAGAGCGCTTAATTACATTTACATAAATTTTTAATTACTTTTTGTCATTAAACATCATCATCATCCTCATCAGGCATGCTCAGAGCAGTGCAGCAAAATATGATTACACTGTTTGTATCAACATTTTAGTTGTTTCTTCAGATTATGCATTATAAACCATACATTCAAAGTAAAGGAAAAATCAAACTCAAAAAGACTAAGTGTGAATCCAAACCCGAGAAAGTTGGGTTCCGGAAGTAGCATAGGAATCCATTTCCGAGACAGACGAGTGATATTATTCTCTCAATAAGTCTGAGATGCTTCCGTTTTCAGACATTGCAAATCATTTGAATAAATCTAGAAATTTCAGAAGCATTCTGCAAAATGCTGCCCAAAAAAAAGAAAAAAAAATATGTCAGATAAAACTCCAGACCCTTGTTTAAATATAAGAACATGCGATAAAAAGCAGCTTAATATGAAAAACTGAGTTAAAAAAATAAAAGTAACTCAATTTGTAAAGGAGCTTTACAAGGTAAAAGTAAAGCTACAAATTACTCCATTATGAAAATAAATAATAAAATACATAAATTAAATAAGTAATACTTATTTGAATACAAAAATTGTGACATATAATAAAATAAAAATTTTATTTTTATTTTTTATTTCATGGGGATATTAATTGTTTAATGGAATATTTATTGACCATTTACTAATATTAGTATTTATTTATTTCCGTTTTAATGAAATGGCTCTTCATAGAGTGCAGATTTAAAATAAAAACATTGAATGTTTCCTCAATTGTTAGCTTGTTAAAGTGGCCCTCATCTCTGCAAGGCCTGCAACTGTGACTGGAAATGACTGTCTAAAAATGTTCTTTAGCCGTGTTCATCACGTAAACTAATTTCCGGTGACATTCCATGTTGAGTACAGATTTCCTGATCATGACAATGCTTTCAGTTCTTATGGCTTAGGACCAAGATAAACCACAATGAACTAACACAAAGTTTTTATTTTAAATATTACTTTGTTTACTATCCCCAATGAGAAACCATCCATTCTTTCCTACTGCAGCGGATATTCACTTCAGAAGAACAGAGTAATCCTGTACACTAAAAAGCTCCACAGGACTTAGCCAGCTATGAAACCATCTAACTTGATGCATCTTTAGCCAGGAGGATTTTCAGTAATAATTTGGCAATAAACAAAGAGAGGGAACAGGCAATAGAGAAGCGAATGCCTCAGATTCTCCTGCAAGTACTGTTTACTAAACAGGAAGATAGCAGCCAGCAGGGCAAGGTACTTTTCCACTTCATCTGGGATACAATGAAGAGCCGCAGAGTCAGAGCAATAAATAGGAACAACAATTACTGAAGTCTATAAAAAGACTTTATCACCTATTGATAGTTTAACCATCTCCATTTAATGATACAGAAACAACAAATAAAGAAATAAAAGTCTAGCATGAGTTTGAGTTTTCTGACTAGGGTATCCACCTGAAGATCTTTTTACATTAGTTCAGTACGCTTCTATACAGTTTAATAGCCAACCACAAACTATTTTGAACTGAAGGTTCCTTTATATTTTTTTATGTAAAGAGAAAAACAAAGAAGCAGTATTTGAATTAATGAAACTAAAAGTGATTTCAGACTTGTTGTGAAAAGTCTGGCATTTTTAAGGCTCACTATACATCTGATTAAATAAAAATATTTCAAGGACTACACAAATCTGATCTCAAGGCAGTGATCACACTGAAGTCATGCTTTAAAGTATAGTAATTATAGTGATCTATTTATAATTTTTTTCCCGAACATTCTCTGGTGTTTGTTTTCTTCTCTAACCACGGTCTATGACCTCTCACCCTGCTCTGCTTCTAATTTGTTCTATTTTGTGCTTCATTTGGCAATAAAAGCCAACAATTCCCTTTAGTGAACTAAAAGATTAAATCCATCTCAGCCCGTCCAGCAAAACAGGGCTTATTGTCCTTGCTGGACCGAGAGGTACAAATCCAAACGAGTCATGCCAAACTTTCGATAAGTCTTAGAAATTAGCTTGTCACAGCTTCCAGGTGGCTTGAAAAACGAGACCAATAAATACAGACACTTAAGCACACATTTGATAATACAATGTTTCAGACAGCTAGGAATAGAGAATAATCCATCAGGAGATGTACAATGATATCATGGTAGAAGTAGAGTAATTCTCATTTAAAGCTTTAATGCACAGAACTATAGCACATTTCTAAGAAAATGTAGGACATGTGAGACAAGGCAAATATTTGGATTCCCATCCAGGAAGCTTTTCCCATTCAAAATTTTTTAATTGAATTTCAGTGAATTTTGAATTTCAATAGACAGGTAATAAAGTGTTAATAATCTTTATTTGAATGATGAACAAAGGGAAAGTCTTTACCGAAATTGAGAGACAGTTCATAAGTGTGCTCTTGATCTAAATAACTAATGGGGAAATCGCTGCTTGAACCATGAAGAAACTATATGGAAAAAACAAAACTTTGTAAAAGAGGCTCTCATTTAATGCAGCTCTAATCCCAACCTACTTCACATAGTTATTTACAGAATTCAAATACAGGTGATAGAGGAATATCCAGCTCTTGCAAATCAATTCCTTTTGTATATCTTTATCAATGTAAAATCTAGTGTCCTTTCTGGCCCAAAAGAACTTTGACCCAAACAACAGGGGAGCAGGAACCCAAACAGGAAACAGCCTAGTTCCACCTAGAGTCCTTAAGTCAGACACATCAAGAGTTATTTACAATAAAGTTCCATGAATTAACCTGAAGATACATTCCGTTTTTTAATTGTTTTATTAAAAACATCTTGAAAATTCTCATAAAATTAAAAATGAATGCATCTGCAAGTCTATTCATATGGATTTAAATTATAAAGTGTATTCTACATTTCTGAGCATCTATAGACTTAAGTTTAACATTTTAAATTTAGAAATTGTATGCTGTCCTGACACATCATCTAAATAACACCCAGTCTTAAAGAACTTATTTTTGGAGACAGAAAATGTTAAGAAACTGGTCTCTCTGGTTGGGTTGGTTTGGTTTGCTTGCAGATAAATTAGAAACACTGAAGAGGAATGATCTTTGTTTCTTTTCACAGCTCAGGAATCCTTTCATCTGTAACAGAACTTGTGTCTCCCTTTAAATTATAGTAATGATTAAATCACTGTGCTGTATTAATCTGGCTTAAAAGACATGTTTACTTAGAATTCCCACTTGAAATCTTAAACCAATCAACTAAAAATCACATGTTTAACTGTAAAAACATGGTGTGCCTCTTCACCTCTGTCCCCCTGCCAAGCTCCCATGAATATGACAAAAAAAAAATTTGACTTATTAACTCAAGTTAGATTCTGAAAAGTTCCTGTAAGTTTAATTAGAATCCCCACTGTATACTGTGACTTTTAGCATGCACCATGCAGCTGCCTAAATGTGCCACATTTTTACAAAACCAACGTCTTTTTGTTGTTGTTTTTTTCTTAATTTATTTCAAAGTTTGTTTAAAGGACATAAATAAACTATGCAACTAGAGGCAAGAATAACCCAAACTTAGTGAGCTCTTAAAAGTTGCTCCAACAATTGAATTAGCCCAAAAACACTTGTTATATTTAACAATACATATACTTTTAGTCTGAGTAATAAAAACATCTTAATAACCTTGGTATTGATGTTGAACACTATAATGACTGTCTCAAGATTGAATTCAGATAATAAAAAGTAGGTGAAGGAAGGAAGGAAGGATGGATGGAAAAAAAGAAGGTAGCAAAAAGTAGATTAAACAAAGGAAGGAGGAAATAGCCTGTACTGACATAGCACCTTTCCAACCAGGGTGCTCAAAAGTACACTACACCAGGGGTATTTAACCTATTGTCCTGCATACATTAGATGAGTTTGCACCAGCACACCTCAGGCAACAATGGCTGCAGAGGTCTGTTAATCCCTAATTTACCCAATCCAGAGTGTGGAGGCAGAGAAAAGGCCAAAAACATCCAAGGAAGTTGGTCTTAAAGAACAGGGCTGAACAACTCCTCTGTTAGGATTCACTGAAAAATCTATAAACCCATTAACCAACAAAATACAATTTAGAGTGGATAAAAGTTTCATAAAATTAGTCTGTTTCCAAATTACGAGGTTTGTCAAGTATCCTGCAACACATGAGTGTTATCTGGAACATGTCACATCCGTAAACTGGAAATGAGTCCAACTATCACGCAAACGGATCATGGTCAGTTTCAATATGTTGTAATGATACGATTATGTAATTTTGATCTAGTGAAGATGGTTTAAATGAACACAATACTAAACAAAGTGGAACCACAAAACATATATATTCAATTGAAAAAATGATGCAACGAAATGATGTGACACCGCATACTGTGTGTTTTTAGCGCAATAAAAAGACAACATGTCAAAAATAGAGTTTTAAGAATTTTAAAAACAACGCGATTATATCAGCCATGTCTCTGAAAACAAAACTGAACTGGAAAAGGATTTTAAAAAAAAGTTCAACACAATTGCTAAACAGTCAAAGTAGTAGTACAACAGGGCTACAACTACTCAAATAAATATGAACGTTTACATCGTTTTGGAAATGAAAATGATGACACTTTCCAAGCTGCTATTAGCATCGCATCAGATTTGTAGCAGAAAGCTAATAATGACTAACTTTAACCGTCTAAAGAGTTGCTAGCGCTAAACAGCTATGTGGGGATATTTCATCGTGTAAAAAACGATTTAATTCACATTTTACTTTAATTTTGTTACTCCGAACCACCATGAAGGATACAGATAATTAATTTTCTGTTTTCCGTCGAGATTTAAGTTTGAAGAAAACGGACATGCTAACTAGGCTAGCTTCTAAACAGCCCAGGAGAGGGGGGGGGAGTTCTTGATACTGACTAAATCCCAGCTAATTTAGGCGTTAAAGTTAATTGTGACTGTAACTTACTGTTTTATTCCGTCCAATTTGAAGTTACTTTACCACAGAAGACGGCCCTGCGGTCGCCATTACACAGAGTGCCGTGGTAGAAAGTGTGTAACACTAAACTTCAGCCAAGGTATGAATCCGCTGTGGTCAAGCAACGTCACCAACCGAAATAACACGGGTACTTCCGGTTAGGTACCAGTTTT